CTCACAGCTCAAGTAAATGTACTCAACAACTATGACAGTATTGGTTGGAATTTGCAGCTGATGACTAAGAAACAAGCAACTCCTACCCCCAATGTCTGTTTCGGTATTTGCAGACCAATTTTCACGATCTCGCAACAGTGTTGTAAGGCGTGAAGCAAACGTAAGTGTATTTTATCTCTCCACAGGACATTCCACTAAAGCACAGTGTCAAGGCCATAAAAACATGGCTTTCATTACTGGTGTGAAGCAGCGCATTTGCTTGAACCATCCCATCAATCAAACAATATTACATTTCACTGTAGGTTTTTCATATGCATTTACGGATCATTTCATTAAGCCTAGCCACACATCAGTGTAAACGCTTCATGGCAACGATTGGCAAATTTTTTATCAATGATATGCACTCTCCAACCAACCTGTGATTGCCAAAATCCTTCTTCGCCTACATCCCATCGATTTTTCTCAATGCATATTCATCCTCTGTGCCGTGTGTGGCGTCGTTATTTGAGGTAGGGGCTTGTTTGTCAAGTGTTTTGGATATTGTGGTTCAATGTGAAGACAGACGAATCCCCTGAAGTCCTTCGTTTCCTCATTCTCAATTGCATCTTTAGCCCCAGAACCAATGTGCTAGTGTAGTGTATCCTATGATTTAAAATTTGTCACCGTATTCATGCACATCCGCTTTATGATTTTATCCACTATGCTGAACCCCAATGTTGACCTTGAAATGGATGTATGCAAGTATCAACAAACCACGTTAATCTCCAATGGTAAAAATCAATGTCTCACTCTCCAATTTGTGCACCCATTAGTGGAACCAGCCACGGGACTGACGGGACTCGTTATTAGTTTGTGAGTTTACGTGGGCATTACAACAACTTGCAACCTCGACTTCGAAAGCGTTCAACGCTTGAACTCGTGGTAGACCACATTTGGAACAATTAGATTCTTGCTTCTTTTCCTGCCTTCGACGCCTAAATGGGAACGCTAACAATCAGTGCATTTGGCACTCATTCAAGTTTCGTGGAGTATTCGTTTTTCATGGTCATGTCTATCTCAAGGCCCTAAGTGTGTCTCCTTGCACAAACTGCTTTCAACGCTTGACTCCCATTTGGCACATTCTCTATAGTTTTTCAAGTGAGACGTTCTGTGAAAACGAACAAAATTCTAACTCACAACAATGCTGGACCCCCACATTGCTCG